GGAGAGCGTCGTGGTTCAGAGGTGGTTCAGCAGATGATGAAGGCCTTTCTGTTGCATTGTGTAGTGCTGTGGAGGCCATGATGGTCGACTGGGTCTGCTTCTACTGAACTCACAAACACTTCTGAGGTATTTACACCTGAAGCCTCATTGAATGTGAGTCAGAAACAAACGGCTCAGCTGTGATTAATGGATGTTTCCCTGCATTTCTATTTTCACACAGTTTATTTCTTACAGCAGGAAAACTGAACAGAATGTATGTAAGAGGTCAGAGTGAGGATGACGTCACTTAATACAGGAAACACATGTTTGTCTGTTTTGATGATGAAGGACTTCTTCAGCTCTGTAAACAGCTACACTTGAGAGGACAGAGGTGATTTCATGGATCAATAACAATGTGTTTATCAGCTTTCATCATCGCAGTGCAGACATGACGTCAGATCTATCAGAGTGAAGGCCGTCTCTCTGATGACGTCACAGAGCAGAGTCCTTCTGTCCAATAAAGGATCTCAGATCAGCTGCTGCCATCTTGTGGCCACAGTTGGTTACTGTCTCTGAAAGTTGTCTCATGTTTCCTGTTGTCCTGCTAACAAAGGCTGGAGCTCATCATGCTGAGAGGGCAGCAGCATTTTGTGGCTCTTCACACATGTTCATTATATTCTGATGATCCTGGATGGAGACAAACTACAGATAAGTGTGTTCAGCCCAACTAGTTTATCTCATTACAGCAGTTTGATGTTTCCCTTTGAATCCCCCTGAAGATCCTGACAGTGAAGCACGTACATAATACTCCAGCCTTTCAACTCTGAGCTTATTTAGTTCTATTAATACACTGAAATCTCATTTGTGTCATGAAGAAAGTCTTTAATCAAACAGAATTCAAAGAGCAGAAACATTTCATATATGGAGTTAAACATGAATCATTGTTTCAACAACATATTTATTGTTGTCATAAACAGACAAGAAGACAACAACAAACTGCTCCTCCCATTCAACACATGTCAGTCCATATCCCAGCAAACTAAATCATCTCCATTTACACATCAAATAGAAACATGAATCACTTGTAATGATTAGAAACTTGATAGAATTTCAAATCTAGTTTGGGGAGTCATTCAGTGAGAAACAGTGAAATGATTTTCCATGTGAAAAGGTGGACAGCAGAAACAGAAAGAAGAGTGAAACTAAAAGAGAAACAAAGAGCTTTGGAACAACGAGGCAGCAGGAGGACAGCTGCAGTTTAACAGCTTCAACTCACTGACAGGAAACAACATTAGAAACATCATCATCCTCAACTCATCTGCTGCACTGACACTGACACCTTCAACGGACACACCTTCACTTTACCACCAGTGTTAATATATGGAAACATCCTGTGAGTGAAAGTGTGTGTGAAGGTGTGTATGTGTGTGTTAGTATCAGGATCAGAGAACGACAGCTTTCCTCTGTTCCAGTCCAGATTCACTCTGATCCTCTGGAGCTTCTTCTGGACTGAGAGAGCAGTGAAGGAGCTGATGGTGAGAGTGCTGAGTATTTACCTTCATAGAACCATATTCTCCATAATCCAGACAGTATGATTCCCTTCCTCTGCACAGACTCTGCTAACACACCCAGTACCCACCATGTACTGTCTCCAACTTCAACATCCCAGCTGTGAGTCCCTGAGTTAAAGCCCTCAGAGCCCAGGACAGAGCAGTCCCGATCAAACCTCTCTGGATTATCAGGAAGCTGCTGCTTCTCTCCTCCTCTCTCACACTGGTCAGATCTTCAGACAGGATGAGGTTTGGATGAGCAGTGTTTGGGTCCAGAATGAGAGGAGTGTAGGAGACCATGTCCTTCATGTTGTTCCAGATGTTGAAGGTCAGGTTGCCCAGGTGTTTGGCCTGGTCTATCAGAGCTCCTGAGGGCAGCTGTGGATCATCCAGCAGGGGGCAGCGCTGGACTCTTTCCACTGCAGCCTTGTAGTTGTGCAGGAATGAGACGTCTTCAGCTCTCAGCTCCTCCTCTGTGGCTCTGACTGTGTCTGAAAGAGCTGCTATCTCTCTGCTCAGAGCCTCCATCTTCTCCTTCATCATCCCACTCTTCTGCTCCTCTTCCTCCCTCAGTGCAGCCAGCCTGGCCTCCTCTTCCTCTGCTAGAAACTGCTGAAGCTTCTTAAACTGCTCCTTAATCTGCCTCTCTGTGTGTCGGGCCTGGACCTTAATGTGTTCTGCTGTTTGATCAAACTTCACTTGAACTTCTTCACAAACCTTTAACTTCTTCTTTAAGGGCTCCAGAGTTTCCTGAAGTTCCTTCTTGTGTTGTTGTGCAGCTTCATCGATGGGTCTGAATCTGTGATTGGTGTGTTTTTCTGAGTCTCTGCAGACGACACACACTGGCTGCTGATGGTCCAGACAGAAGAGTTTGAGTTTCTCAGAGTGCAGACTGCAGAGAGCCTCTGAAGCTCTCTGATCTCTCTCCTGTAAGAACGACTCACACAGGTTCTTTAAAGCCAGTTTAAAGGTGGTTCATCCTTTGAAGATCTTCTCTTACAAACTGGACACTCGTGTGTTGGTCTCTCTCTCCACCATCTCTTCAGACAGTCTTTACAGAAGCTGTGGCTACATGACAGAAGAACAGGATCTCTGAAGACCTCCTGACAGACCGGACAGCAGAGATCCTCCTCTGATCTGGAAGCCATTGAGTCTGTGAGTGAAGCTGAAAACAGCAGACAGGAAGTACAGTCAGTCCTGGCTCCCCTCCCTCCTCTACCACCTTCACTGAAACTTGCTTTGAGTCGTGTTTTTGCTCAAACTCACATTCAGTGTGTGGAGCGTCAGCAGCTTGAAGCAGCAGTGTTGGAGTTTTCCACTTTTCTCTCCTGTAGCTGGACTCACTCAGAGGAAGCTGCTAGTTTGGTCTGAGCTCAGTCTGATCGTCTGTGCGTCTCTCTTTACTGAGGACGAAGAACTTCCTGTTTCCTGGTTTGTCACATTTGAGTGACGTGAGGGGAGGAGAAAATGTTGCTTTTGACTTTTAACTAGGTGTGTTTCATTCCAGAGTTAGACTTCACTGCCAGCAGCTCAAAAGCTATAAAACAGGTTTTCCTCCATTCCAGCTGCACATGTCACAGCATTACTCTTAATTTTAATTACTTTTGTAGAATCTATTTAGACTTTGAAGCAAAACTATCAGATTTCTCACATAACTAAAAGATTTAATTTATTTATCAGTAATCATCAGTGCACCTGACTCACCAATTTTGGGTAAAACACACTGCTAACCTCAGTAAGGGCCAGTCAAAACACCCTTTACCTCAGGTCACAAATAAGTACAGTATTAAAGTTCTGTGAGTGATGAGACATTCTGTATGATTTTAGGATGGATTTCTTCATTTTAGCCCTGATTTTGATTTTGCTGTATTTCCAAATCTTAGACATAATGGAGGATTTCGGAACATCAAACTTACCAGAAAGTGATTATCATCAACAGTTTGGTTGCTGATGTCATAGCTAAATTTAACCTAAAAAAGATGTGACACCAGTAAAAACTGCCAAAAAACTATGCTTGAGACTTGTGTCTTTTAGGGACTTTTCTACCACAAATATCTGCTTTAACTTAAATGAGGACCACAAATATTCTTTGGAAACTGGTAAATACAATGAACTCTTTGACTAAACATCTGCTTGTGTTAAGGTACGCTTCATGATTTCAAGATTTATTTCTTTTCTCTTGGTGTTCCAGTCCAGTCTTGCTTTTTTCCTGTAAATAAACCTTGTAAGTACTCCAGTACTGAGGCCATTTACGTGAAAAGGGAAAGACCATCTCTGAATCGAGGAGGGAGCCTAAGGGTACATCTGTCACCATCTTACAATGCTGTGATTGCAGCCATTCCCAACTCTCTGTGAATGGTACTCATGGCCATTGATCAGTGGTTGTTGATAGGTAGAAAAGCCAACTGGCTGCTCTCCGGGGCTCTGGTCATGAGAATTTGCATAATTAAGATTAAGGAACCTCCCAGCCCATTGTTCCTTCAGTGGGCTGGTTTCAGTCATTATGCAAATGTACTGTTTATAAGATTTGGGGAAACCTGCAGTCAGCTGAGACTGAAGAAGTCACTTGGATGAGTGACGAAACGTTTCTCCCACAAAACGCTTTGTCCAGATGAACAGAATCAACTTCTGGAGATGTTATTAAGAATCTACATTTTGTATAAAAATATTCTTATCTTTATTTTTTCAGTGTGGAATCTATATAAAAACCATAGAGGCTCTCACTGTTTGCAGGTTGATGGACATTCACTGTTTTTTTGTTTGTTTTTTTACTTGATCCTGGTAAGAAGTGGATCACTTCATATCATTGGGAACTCAGTTAAACCGGATAGGACTTCACTAAACCTCTAATCCTGCCTCTCAGGTCCACTCAGACCTGACATAAATCTCTTCATCACATGGAGAACACACGGATGTCCACTGACAACTTACATTTCACATTTTAAGAAACTATAACAGGATCGACTGTTGAACCATTAGGTCTCCAGCTGCCGGTGTCCACAGAAATGATGTCTCTGAACCAGATGAATCTCATCAGTGCCTAATTGTTTCTAATGGGCACATTTTATTTTCCATATGTATATTTGTTTCTACATTCACGTAGGCAGATTTGAAATGACTCACGAAGCTAATTAAAGCTAATGTGTGAAAAGTTAAAGAGGAATTAAAGTAAAACAGCTGAAAAAGTTCTATTAAAGAGAATACATCCTCTTGAACTGCACAGTACAACACTGTAACCAAACATGTGAAAGAGCTAAACTTAATGAACAAAGAGATAAACAGAAGCATGATACAAAATGGAAATTGTAGCTGAAGTACGTAGTTATTGAAACTTCCAGCAGTCGTATTGTTTGATCTGAATCAGAATCCAGTGTTTGATGGAAATCTCCTCCTGCTGCACTTCAACACATTAAAGAGAGAGAGATGAAAGAAAAGCTGATGATGAGAGCAGAGAGAGGAAGGTGTACTTACCGTGCAGGAGGATCACAAACACCACAAACATCTTCATGTTCCTGTCAAACTCAGAGACTCTTTAAAAGCCCTTCAGGACATCAGCTCACAGCAGCTTCACTTTCCTCTGCTGATCATCTACTGACACTCTCACACTGCTTCACTGTCACAGCTCAGAGTTCAGCTTCACACTTTGTTAAAGCACATCTGTGGAATGAAGTCCGGCCGGCCACAGATCAGACGTTTGTGAGAACGGAGGCAGTGATTTGCTGGTTCACCTGTGGGGGCGTGGCTAACAGAAAAGTGGATGAACAGGATGGAAAGTATGAGGAAACTGAACTCCTCCTCTTATCAGATAAGTTTGTTGGTAAAATGAAAGAGACTTAGTTTCATCACACTTTACTTTAACAGAAGCTAATATTCAGAAGATTGTATTTATGAATATCTGAAACACTGCGTGTGTGAAAAGAGAGGGAGAAAACTGTGAGGTCAGATATTTGCTGATCTTTAAAGTTTAAAATCACCACATTCCCACAGACCAATCAGATACAGGATATGAGGAATTATTCACCAGGTGGCCTTTATGACAGGATTCATCAGCTCTGAGCCTGATACTGAGGTGGAGAAACTCCAACATACCTGATAACCTGTGGAGTGGGAAAAGGAATACCACGGTACATTTCACCCTGCCCACATACTACATACATACCGTGGCCCAGCGCTGGATACACAGCCACAGACAGGTTTCTATGTTTTGTCCTGGTTTGGAGACAGCATGCTGTCGTCTGAGCTGAGGAGCCCTGAGGCAAACTCCTCAACACCAAGTTAACTGCCCATCATTGAGATCATGTTGCTGTTTCAGGGCTTCATCTGGATTCCTGCTGATTTAAAGTCTCTGTGGGTTCATGTGAAATAAAGATCTGACATGATAACCTGGTGTTATGTGGCCTGAACCAACAATCCAGCAGAGGTCAGGTAAGCAGGGCACTGTGGCAGCCGTCACTCCTGAAGTGGACTCTAAACAGCTCCGTGTGGACTGTGATAAACCAGTACTCAGAGCTTCTAATGACACAAACAGAAGTCTGCATTATGGATCTGCTGCTTTCACAGGACAACAGCAGAGAGCTGCACAGCAGGATTATTCTGAGGCCTCGAGGATCACAGACGAAAACAGGACATGATTTAGGGAAAAAGCTCAGTGTGGTCATCACCAGGCACCACTGATAATATTCTTATTATGCAAAGAAAATGACTTCAGTAAAAGCAAATATAACTCTCAATTATTAAACATAAGATGTTAGTTTAAACTGATGAGGTTACAGTGAATGTGGTGGGATTTATTTATTTTTATATGCAGCACAAACTGTTTTAATCTGATCCAATTTATCTTGTTAAATCGGTGTAGAGGAGGAAGATGTTTTTGTCTGTGTGCAAACAAATTCACATTTTAAAGTGTGAGACAGTTTGTTTCTGCAGGCTGTGAGGCATTTAATGAACCAAAGGACAGAAACAAAGCGTAGACATACATGCCAAAGTTTCTGTCAAACTTTTTAAATTGGTCCTAATTTTAATTCTCTGTGACGTTATGAAGTTTAAAAAGTCTTACATCGAACTTTCCTGAAGCCCACATTCAGCCCCAAACACATCAGAAGCATCAGAAACACCACAGAAGAAGAACAACACTGATCAAATGAAACCTTACAAAGTTTTTATTTCACAGTTTATAAAATTACAAAAATGTAAAAATATCAGATTTGGCCTCATCTGTAGTCCCTGTGCAGATCCAACCAATAAATGAAGAGAAACAGTAAACGTGGTCAGTCTGTGGGCCACTCCTGTCTGTGCTGTTGTTGTACCATCTACCAGCCAACATACAAAGAGCTGAAGTGAAACTGAGTGACAGGAACAGTGTCACTGAAGCCACTATCTGCAGGTTTTTTAGATTTCTCCTGCTTCCCTATTCTGGCACACATGGCAACCAGCCTGCTTGCAGTCAATGAACAGCACCATCCACGTCCATTTTCAGTGGGTGGATACAGGCAGTATAATGGGAAAATAAATGATCCGTTATAAATGTTTTAGACCGAGTGAAGTGAGATTGAAGGGTCAGAGCTGTCTGAATTCTCTAAATACCAACAAAAGAGTCGTCAGTGCTTTTGTGCTGTCCCACACTACACAGCAAAGCAAAAGTGATTCTCTGCTCAGACGACATTTAAAGTGCATCAGCAGCATTTTTGAAATGCTTTTTATTCTTGTTGTGTTGAAGCACAGTCAGATTTCTCTACTGTTGACTCTGATTGTAAAGAAGTATAACAGGACCATCAGGTCTCCAGTTGCCCGTTTCCACAGAGATTGTAGTAAAGGTTGAGTTCAGGAGATTTTCTCTCTGCACATTAAGTTTCTTCAAACAGTTCTTTCTGTAAATGTCACTGAGTAAAAAGTACTTCAGCATTTAGATGCAGTGTTGAAGTCTTTGTCACGGTGTGAGCCGTATAGACCCAAAACAGATACAACATGGGCACCAGATGTGTGTGTCAGGTATTTATTAGTGAAAAACGTGAATACTCACTGGTGTGGAGTTCAGCTGCTATATACAGGTGGAGTGAAACAGTGACTAAGTGTAGGCAGTGATAACAATGATCACATGGGAATTAACTACACAAGTATACTTGGGACTGGGGTAATATGTACACGGGTAAGGCAGAAATACACAGTGAACTGGATTTACTATGGCGCACACTTGGCTAAAGAAGTAGGCTAAAGATTACTGCTTTGATGTTACTCTGGTGAAGACTGTGATTGTGAGCAAAGTTCTTACTTCACAGTTTATCATTATAAAAATACAAAATGTAAAAAATATCAGTCTGGACCTCTGTGTGCAGATCCAACTAATAAACAAAGAGAAATAATCAACAGCTCACACTGAGTGAAGCTGGTCACAGGTCAGTTTGAGACAAACAACTTTAATACGTTGACACCATGATTGTGACTGAAGTGAAGGCACGCTTACATTAATGTGATGCTGCAGATATTTTTTTTAAACGGGTATTTTTCCAAGTTAGTTTAAAAAAAAAAAATCTCTCATGGTAAATGGCCTGTATTTATATAGCGCTTTACTAGTCCCTAAGGACCCCAAAGCACTTTACACAACCCACACATTCACACACTGGTGATGGCAGCTACATTGTAGCCACAGCCACCCTGGGGCGCACTGACAGAGGCGAGGCTGCCGGACACTGGCGCCACCGGGCCCTCTGACCACCACCAGTAGGCAACGGGTGAAGCGTCTTGCCCAAGGACACAACGACCGAGACTGTCCAAGCCGGGGCTCGAACCGGCAACCTTCCGATTACAAGGCGAACTCCCAACTCTTGAGCCACGATCATAATCTATAATAAATAAATAATCTCAAGTGCTGTAAATAAAATGAAAATGCTGAGAGTTTCCTCCAGAGTGAGACCTCTGTTCATCAG